ATGGCTACCCACAAAAAGTCACTGCTGATATCATAAGAAAGAAATCTTCGACTTCTCCAACACCTTCACCTGAAGAACTAGTTGGGATGTTCTTCAGTTGGGCTGACCCAACGAATACTCAGAGCTTCGCGGTCCTCCCCTACATCAAAGGTATTACCGAGCCTCTTTCTAGAATTCTCAAAAGTCATGATATTTGAGTAACCAACAAACCAATCAAAACACTACAACAAGAGTTCCCTGTTCCCAAGTTTCGACCTTGGGTCGACGACCAGTGCAATGTTGTTTACAAAATCCCTTGTGGGTCTTGTCCCTGGAGTTACATCCGCGAGACAAAAAGATTGTTTAGTACAAGGTGAAAAGAACATATCAGAAATACTAAACAATGTGCTAAAGGCTCCAATGTAGCAAAACATGCCTGGACCTTTGATCATACCATCGACTTTACCAATGCTGAGATAATTGACAAAGGCAACAGCCGCATTAGAAAGATGCTGGAATCCTGGCACACAGTGAAAACGGTTGAGGCCGACAACAATTCGTGCCCTCTGCCGGGACAATATGACATTCTTTTAAACAAACACTAATTTTACACTTGTAGGATTCTCACATTCTTTCTCATGTATTCTATTTAATATATGCCATTTGCTTGTTATATTCAAACACTTTTAGGTCTATTTTATCATTTCATTTTTGTCCATCAAAGACAGCAGACTGGCTGTTGAAAGCTCACAACTTTAAACAATTTTACCAGAGAACGTTTTTTACCTCTTTTATAATGAATCCTGGTATTGCATCTTCAATATTTTTACTGATTTCTATTGTTGACAATTGAATAAATAAGGAAAATAGCAGCTGAACTGTAGTCCTTTCTATTTTGCAGTTTGATAGCTGTGGCAAGCAATTTGGTTCCAATATTAATATTTTAAACAAGGATTCAGCTGTCTGTCAAAATCAAACTTAAAAAGTTTATTTGTGTCCGACACAAGTATTGACTGTAGTTTGAGGCGTGTTTTCATGAGTCTGGGCTCACAAAGAGTTTACAATAACTTGGAATGCATTCTTGTAATAAGCATTAAATAATGCTAAAATGGGACATTTTCAATGCCTCACTGCTCTTCAATGAGCATGGGCACCCCCCTTTTTTATTTTATAACTAATGAATGAAGAAGATTGTGGACTTCACAGGATAATTCAAACAATTTTAGTGTAGTCAATTGGCTGTCAATGGTGACTTCTGGTTGAATTGAATTGTTACTGCTTAGTTAATGTTTGAAAGATGTAAAAATTCACAACAGTTGTTTTATCTCTCACAGAATGACTTCTTAATATTCCTAACCTTAGTTTGATGTCAATTAAATCCATTTTTCATGACTAAAAGTCAAGTTCACCGTTGATTCTCAAATGGCCTTCATCTTTGAGTATGGTACTATAATGGGACTTTTCCCAGCTGAACCAGTGTTAAACGAAAACTACAAGAAAAAGACATTGTAGCTAACACGGCAGAGATCACAGTAAAGCTTGGTTGATTATATCATCGATTATGGCCTGTATTCGTTTTCAGGCCTTGGCTTTCGGGGGGTCTTAGTTTTTGCTACAACCTGGCTACAGCCATGGATAATGTGGTCAATTCAGTGTAAGTGGATTAATTATTGTTATATCGTTGCTGTCAGAACTGGAACAACTCATAATATTTGTTCACTCTAATTCCTAAAATTGTTTTTACCCGTTTGTCTTTATGACTTCTCAGCTGTAGAAAGAAAAGTCAGCATCCTTTGCTGCCTCCTCCTCATCTTGGAAAATTGTGCATGTGAGAAGAAATCTGCTGCTGTGCAGACACATGCACGTTTAAATGACAGCCTCTGCACATGAACAGACTTTCTACCAAAAAATGCTCTTGCTTACAAGTTCAAAATGTACATATGATTTATCCATTAACATTTATTTATTTCCTCAAAAAGATCAGATTGCGATTACCTTGATGAAACAGAATTGTGTATTAATAAAATCGGAATACGAAAAGTACCCAGGGTAAATGCCTGAAGTAGCTGGTAATTTGCACCGGGTGTCGGCTAAATTTGAAAACCCTGCATAACACTCAAAGCGGATATAAATTAATCATGAAACATTTTCCAAAACTCTACTTCACTATTTCATGCTCTGTTCTGCAAACAGTAAATGTAAGATTGCATGGGAGGTCTGTTACATAACATTCCTATCTTTCCTAACAAGTTCATGGCTTCTTTTGAGCAAATAAATTTTCTGTCAAAACATAAGGCAATTTCCCTTTCACTGGGAAGAATCTCCAGCCTCGCTAAAAAACCAACGCTGCCATGACCAGTGGCTGGCGCAAAAAAAAAGTTCTTCTTGACCTGAGCAGTTGCACAACCAACAACATAGTGTTGTGTGATCGATATTTTCAAAAGTGGAACCGGCATTATTGAATTTTAACCCTGTCAACAGCCGTCTGGGATAGATATATCTATTTAGAAAACAGCCTTAAGAAAATATGCGCACTGATTGGTGAAAAAAGATGTTTCTATAACTCGAGCTGTTAACGAGCTGTTAACGTAATGATGATGCGTGCAAAGAAAATTTACACTTTGATAATCAAAGTTTACAGGTTGTTTTCCTTTTTTTGTTGCGGTGTTTTCTAAAAGAAATAGAAAACATGTTCTTTGTGTTTCTATCGAGTTAAAGAAACACTCGTGAAAGTTTGGGAGAACTCGAGAAAGCTTTGGAAACACTCGCCTGCAGCTTGTGTTCCCACAGCATTTCTGGTTCTCCCAAACTTCCACTTGTGTTTCTATTAAACAATTAGATTATGAGCTCACAATTTCTATCACGTGATAGTTGATCACGGCGCAGCCCGAATCAACTATCACGCATAGAAATCGAGAGTGAATAATCTAATTGTTTTAGTATAAATCTACTAGTTGTTCAAAACCTTGTCTAAATCCTCTTCACAGACACTTCAAAACTGCCAAGAAGCAGCCGTCATTTTGTTAACAAGTGCATGCACACTGCTTTCACTATCTATTACAGAATAGATAGTGAGTAGCGTAGCCAATCAGAGAATACTGTACACTATTTTATGCAACAGAGTGCTCTTAGGTTGTCACAGTTCATATGATCTGAGAATATCATCATGCTGACATTCTCAGTACCATGCGCCATTGTAGTTAGTAACATGGAAAAAAAAATGTTTCCTTCAAAAGACACATTACAAATGCAATAAACTGCACTGTCTAGTAATCAGCTGGTATCAAAGGAGTTGATGTATGCCCTGTTTGACACTCTAAACACCATAATAAGTGACAGAGCAACACCTCTCAGGGCAACTTACACATTTAAGATTTAAGATTACTACAGCTTCTCACTGGGAGATACTGAAAAACATTCCACCTTTTCAAAATGCAAACTGGGATAATGATCAGACACGTAGCTATTTATCTACCCCTGAAAGCACGACGTGCAGCTGGTTGATCTTAACCCCTTGAGTGCCTGACCATTGTGTATGCCACGTCTAGTAAAAAACTTCAAATGCCACAAGATTTCCACTTAAGCTATAGACACAGGCTTTGTGCCAGATGGGTGTCCAGGCATCCTGTGGATGGCCACTTTTTAAAGAAAATTGTTTTATATGTAGCTAAATATCATTTAGCCAAAGTTAGACCCAAACCAATGCAGCCAGCGGTTTCTCCCTTGAAGGTACGTGACCTAGCTGTGGAGCAGCCCTCTGGGGATTTGCAGGGCTCTTGTGCTTCACCGCACTACAGTACAGTTCTGTTGGCTGATCTTTGCAGATTCTTGCTTCCTCTCTTCCCTCCCTCTTGGTATGCTTGTTTCTTGGTAAGTATTCAGTCAGGTAAGTTATTTCCACTGATATCTTTCAGTGTGACTGTACCAGCAGTTAGCGGCCACTTTTTGGGGTGGTTCCTGCTTTTAGGGTTGCCATGGATACCTCCCTTCAGCTTATGGCTCCCCGCTAACCCTTTACGCACCAGTTCCCAAGCTCATCTATTTGTGACGAGTTTAATTTTCATGTTACTAAAATTGTTTGTTTGAGCAGGCCCTACAGCACATTTTGGACACCCACTTTTCAAATCCTGGCTGAAAGCCTGTATAGACAGGTACATGTACACATTTTTTTGAAAGATCATAAAAAATGTCTCTTTGGTGCACTTGGTTTTGCCAAGGTTGACATAATTTGATAGGCATATGACGTTACATAGAAGGGAGAATTAGCAGTCTCCCAAATAACCTCCCACTAATCTCAGGTGCTGATAAGAGTTGTTTTTGGTTGTCCAGGAGTTTGACTAAATCTCTTAAAATTTTGACGCACTGAGTATGCCATATGGGCACCCGAGGGGCTAAAATTATGACATACTAGAGTAAGTCATACAGGCACTCAAGAGATTAAGTGATGCCAGAGTTACAACACTGTCACCAAAATTAAAACTATCTAGAGTAAAACTTCACCTGTTGTGCCAGGAGATGTCAGCTTTGACAATGGTAAATTCTTGCCCACACTGGCTGTCTTATCAAACGAGTTGATATCACCCCAGGCTGACGGGTCTGATTCAAAAAGGGAATCCCCCTCAGAAAGGATAAATGTTCTAAAGGGAGACATGAGACCTTGATTTGATGTCCTTCCACTGCTTTTGCTTATCGCAGCTGTTGTTAGAGTTTCACGAACAGTAGGTTTTGGTTTAATGTTTGTCAGGTCTGAGCTGGTTCGATGTCTAGAGCTCTCCCCTTGATTTGCTGTAACCATTG